TTCCATATACATGTGCGTCTTTCTTGGTTCAATAAGGACAATAGTTTCTTTGGCAGAAACATCCTGTTCAGAGCGTTACAATAAAAGGCTGTAAAACTGGTTGCTCTTAAATTGTTTGCCTTCATGACCCTTAAACTTTCTGCCAGCTTCTGGCTGTGCATGCAAGTAAGAGCTTTGTACTATTTGTCCTTAGTGTTGCTTTCACAAAATATGTTTGTTGGCTGTACTGCCATATGGTAGCTCCCAATTAGCTTTTTCCTTCTCTCTCTCTCTTTTTTTTTTCTTTTTTTTTTTCTTTTTTTTTTTTTCACCACAGAAACTACATCTTTACTTTCACTCAGTGATCTAATGAAAAAATCTAAAAAATAAATCAGAAATTTTCAACTATGTGAATTTCTTCAAGCATTAGGATAGTAGTATTTGGAAATCTCTGGAAAACAAATGAACAAGGGAACACCTAATTGCCTCTAACCAGATGAAAAGTTACATTATTGTGAGATCACACAGGCAAAAGAAAGGGAGACGTGCAAATCTGGCAGCTGCCTCTTATGCCAAGAACCGGTGAATCCCATTATGGCATAGCAGCTAGAAAAGGCTGCTTCCTGCCAGTGGTGTCACTTGCACTTCCGCAGAATTTTACATCCCTAATCTGGTCTTTAACTGATTACTGTAATTAGAAGCACTAGCATACAACTTTGGTAGCAGGCATAGCACCCTCTTAACAGATTGTGAGATCATTCCTGCACTGAGGACTGGGCTTCCAGACAGATTGCAGAATCACAGAATCATCTAGGTTGGAAGAGACCTCCAAGATCACAGAGTCCAACCTCTGACTTAACACTAACCAGTCCTCCACTAAACCATATCACTAAACTCTACATCTAAACGTCTTTTAAAGACCTCTAGGGTTGGTGACTCCACCACTATCCTGGGCAGCCCATTCCAATGCCTAACAACCCCTTCAGTAAAGAAGTTCTTCCTAATATCCAACCTAAACATCCCCTGGTGCAACTTTAGTCCATTCCCCCTCATCCTGTCACCAGGCACGTGGGAGAACAGACCAACCCCCACCTCGCTACAGCCTCCTTTAAGGTATCTAGATTATTTTCATTCCAGTGGTTGTGAGGAATACACTGTCCATCATCGCCATCTCGGGCTGGCTTTTAAAATAACACAAAGGCTATAAGTTCAGGAACAATCAGGTCATTTTAACTGCTTTTCTCATAAGATAAAAGAGAATTAAGCATCCTCTTCCATTAAGCAACTGTTAATTAAGCTCAGCAACTGCTCCAGGCAGCAGTGAGCAAAGATTTGTACTAGTAGGTCTAAAGATCCTGTTTCGGTGCTTTTTTCAAGCAAAGCTCCTTTTTCAGTGTTTCTGCAATCTTGAAGAAAAAGCTATTGCCTTTTTATTTTTTTAACATAGTGCTAACTTCTAAAGCTAATGTGAATAGAATTGATTTAAAACCCAGACTATGCATATATTATCTCTGCACAAGTAGAAGAGTAGCTTTATTTCTAAAGTTTAACTTGGCTTGTATGCATTTACCACAGTAATGCTCTGAGCAATTTCATTTCAAAAAATAAGAAAAATATAAATATCCTTTTAGACCTGCAAAAGGAAAGCTATTCCCATTGTAGATCATCCTGAGTGAAAGGCAAAAGGTTAATGAGAGAGCCTCCTTTCAGTCTGTTTTTCAGATGTGCACAGGAACAAGCCAAAGATGAGCTATATTGTTTTTTGATCAATAGCAATGAATTAAACCTAAAAACTCATAATTTATTCCCTCTGTTGAATACAAAGAACACAGACAGTTATTAGAACTGTGTCCTCATGCTGTATTATCCTGCAGCTTGGTAGTATCTGAAAAAATAACTCTCTTATACATGGACTTAGATCCTCTTTGACTTCATCCATGTCAGGAGTTCATAAAACGGGGTTTTTGTTTGTTTGTTTGTTTCTTCGTTTAACATTTGTGAAATGTCTCTTTTAATGGTATGATTTGTTTCCAAAAACATTGATGACGGCTACAACTGCACTATATTGTGGATTTCAATGTGCCTGAGCAATGCTTTCACAGAAATGAGCTGTCTTTGAACCAAAGGTAGAGTTTAGCCAGCAGAGTATCTGTTGGAATGATTTCTTTCATGAGTCATGATACTTTGCAATTCCGGAATGCTTTCTGTTTGAAGACCTCAGAACAGTATGTAAATTAATTCAGCAGCATAGAAATGCATTGGAGAAGATAATTATTTTATGTTTATTCTCTTTTTTTTTTTCTTCACAAATGAGTGGACTCCTTGAAGAGAACTGATTTGTGTGAGATCACAAAAGGAGTCTATGCAACTGGCAACACTGAAAAAAGTACGTTTCCCAACTCCCGAATCTAGAGAGAATGCAAGAAAATGAAAAATGGGGCAGTCTCCACTAATCAGGAGTTTTGTGGGACTTCTGCAAGTGCAGGGTGTGGCATTAGTGATTCATACTAGGGATGACCCAAAATTCCTGGGAGGGAGCAATGAGAGGGAGACGCAGCAGAAAGCAAATGATGGAAATTATTATTAAGAGGAGGTTGGAGAACTGCCTGTGATTTTCACAGCTGGTTGTACTGAGCTGTACCGAACCACTTCCAGCACGGCCTTGATTATAACACTGTTAATTCCAGCATATCCCTCCTGAGATCTGTGGGAGGGCTGCATCTTTGCTGCCCGGATCTCCTCTGCTCTGCAGAGGTGGTAACTCCCTATTTCTTTAGCAGCTCTCTTCTTTCTCAGTAGCTTAGAAGAGGCCAGGGCGCATCTTGAATTATATGGCAGACAGGGGACGTGTAAGGAAAGCTACAAAAACTTGGTGATATAAGGATGTCATTGTATTTACTGCAGTAGGAATCTCTTCAGTGCTTGCGCTAAAAGGATAACTGAGGTACCTGAGGCCCCTTCTGCTTACATACTTCCTTTTGAAAATTGTGAAGGTCACTGTTCTCAGTTCTGATTTTTTTTTTTTAATATTAGGCTGGTAGCTTCTGATTGCAATGCTAGCATGAGGAAATTTCTCACAATTTTAACAGATGTTCATATTGAATGTCTGTAGTGTGACCTGATAATACCTAAGGAAACTGTCACCATTAAAATTAAAGGACACCGGTAGCTCCTTAGTGAGAGTTATTAATTTAAATACAAGCAAACAGGAAGAAAGCAGGCTGATTTTAGATTTAATTTACCCACATATTGATTTAATCAAGGATCAGTTCAGCACAGACGGAACTTTATGTTGCCAACACTATGTAATGCAGTCACAGAAAAAGTGTGTAATGAAAATAACCATGTACTTTGAAGACTTGCACACAAATGTAAATAGGAGTAGTTCTTAAAGTTTCATGGAAGATAGAGCAGCACAAGTGTAAAGGCACATGTCTGGAGCAAAAGAAAACAATTCTTCTGCAGCACTAGTGTGCCTCCAAAAATCTGCATTACAGCACAGCTTTGAGAGAAGACAAAAAGGTTGCAGAAATTTAAAATTCTAGCATGCAGGCTGTCAATGGGAGTGAACTAAATGCAACACTCGGTGTTATGTATATCTACTCTACTGAGGACTGCAAATTCCATTATAAGGTCATACATCTCACTTTTTGGCAATGTCCTTTTAGCACAGAGAATGGTAACTGCTACAGGCTGCCTCATATTTCACTGGAGTATTTGTAGTGTTGTTACCTGGCCAAACACATTGCAGTGAAATGATCAGTTTATTTCTTTAAATATATAATTTTATATAAATATATAAGTACATATATATGACATACTGCTGTTCTTAAGTGTTGTATATAGGCATACCAGCATGCTCAGGAGAGGAATTTAATTAATTCAGTCTTTATTAAGATGAAATACCACATTATGACCTTCATTTTAAGGACTGTTTTGTTATTATCATACCTAAGATTAAATGTTTGCAGTGTGATGGTATAAAAATGTGTCTGGTGCCAAGATGATTATTGAGGTGTGATAGCTATGTGTATTTTGTTCCAGCTTTAAAGCTCATCAGCCATCCCAGTCTAGCAACATCAAGTTTCTACTCCTGTGATAGTTGAAAGCATGTTTACCTTTGAACTCTGCCGGACCAAGAACTGGCCTCTTGGGTAATTGCGTGAAATAATAGACTTTAGTAACACTTACTTCACCCATCCGATCAGTCTTACACATTGATTTTAGCCAATTTACTAAAGTAATTGCACCATGATTTACATTTTTAATTATTTTGTACGTTTCTAATATTAGAAAGGAAAAGACATATATTTAGGAAAAGGAGATAACGTTATTAGTGTTTTCTACCAGCAGTCTTCAGATAATGCATGGAGACCAAACATAACATACAACCTCTCCAAAATCGACAGTGTGTATTCAGCTTTTGTGAATTCTAGTGGTCACTACAGCAAACAAGGGAGATGCTCATTTTATATCAGTCCACAAAAACATTTTCACTTGGTATGGCTGGGGCCTGAATTCCAAAGAGAAACTGAGAATGATCATGTATCTTCATCTATTAATTTTTATCTCTTATTCATTTCTCTTGTTTTGTCTTGTTCATTTATGGTCTGTCTTCTGAATGTTCTTCAGAAATTTTCATTGTCTGCTTTTATGTCACTTGGAAAAAAACAAAGTGATAAATTACAAATTCTCTGTGGCTTTACTATTGTAGTACTTTTATGGGATGCCTTATCTTTTCCTTTTGCTTATAAATGACAGCAAGAAAGAGATGTGAAAATGTGCTTGACAGGAAAAGGGAAGTGGCGTAACTATAAGTTGCAGCCACAATGTATGGAAGGAAAATACATTTCAAACCTGTACGTGAAAGTTCGATCTCATTCAGTTTTTAATCATTCCCTTTTTATAAGCTGATCAGGATTATGCCGTCATTACTTGGAATTCTACTATACTATATATTTTATTATATTATATTATATTATATACAGTAACTATAGTTACTTTTCTTAAAGTTTTCCCCACTGTAGTTTCTGATCCCATCACCAAGATTAATGACTGTAGTCTCAAAATGATTCAGATATATAGACTCATTTTACATTTTAAGCAACTGAGGCTTAACAAAGCTAAGCCATTGTCTTAAATCACAACGGAAGTGCATAGCAAAATTATGAATTAAATTCAGATTACCCAATTCCTCTATCAACACTTTCACCATACAACTATTGTTCTGTTGTGAAGAAAGAATAAAGCAAATGACTCATGCATGCATGCTTCTTTTTCTCTTCTATGTAACTATAACCAGAAGAGCACCACCTTAAGAATCTGAATAACTCAGCCTGATCTTAAGGAGGAAATACCCAAAAATTAGTTTGGCTAAGATTAAAAACCTGAGATTTTTTTGAAGTCATCAGTGAAGGCTGATGGCCAAAATAACTGGCTACTTGCAGGTATTGTGCAGTATTCCTAGCCACCACTTTGAAAAATAAAACACTGGGACTATGAAAGGGTATGTTTGGTGAAAGAATCCTGGTAACAGTAGGATCATAGCAATAAGACCGGGGGAGGAAGGAAAGAAGGAAACATTCTGAAGCTTTCCAGGATTTCTGAAGTAAACAAACAAACAAACAGAACAGACAACAAAATGGAATGGAAGTGGTATTATTTGACATTTTGTGGTGTTTTTCCTTTTTCAGATGCAGTCCTTATATCACTTTCCTTTATCCTTCTCTACCTACAGACTCAATTCATCTTCATCCTAAAATTAGCTCTCTTCATGAATTTGACTTTGCCAGTTCTAACTCTGCCTTAGCTTAGGACTTGTTTAGCTCATTGTGGTCCCCAGTCATTTTCTCCAGTCTCCCTTTACATTCCCAGGCACACATCTAGGTCTGCTGCCTGAAAACCCTTCATTTATTATCAAACTTCTCGTCACCTCTCACTTCTGATCGCTCTCTGCTTGCTCCCATGCTCATTGTTGTCTCCCTCCCTTACCCAGAATTCAGGTTAGAAAAGCAGGTGTTGAAGTGGTAAAGTGAGACCCATTCCTTCACAAACCCCCTGACAGATGCAGAAACACTTGCTTTCCTGTCTCAGACCACTGGTACACTTGTGCATGCAGCTGCTGCCGTATCTAAAGGAACAGGAGATCAGACAGCATGAATACTATTCCTAGATATGGAAAACATGTCCTGATTTTATGTGTCAGAAGAAAGTGAGCTCTGCACAGAGTCCTGCCTACTTAGCCTTTGCCTCCACTCAGTGCTGTGGTACTGGAAATACTGCATGAGAATCAGGTGTGCTGCAGATTTCAGGGACTACAGCAACTCTGGTACACCACCAAAAGCAGTTGCCAGGCACAAAGTGAAGACAGAAACAGACTTGTAGGATCAACTGCCCCACAGCAACTTGTCTCCAAGTTTTGTGATGTTAGGCACAGCACTGCCATGAGCTTTTGGATAGATGCTTCACTATCTTGGGATTATAATTTTGGTAGTGGATATATGATTCAAATGGATAAAATACAGAAAATGAGCTACAGGGGAAGAAGACATTGCAGCTGTACTCACTTTCTGTTCAGGAGAATGGAGAAGGATAAGAATATGAGCTGTTCCATGAAGGGATCCATCTCTTGCTGCTGTACAGGACTGCGGATTCTCCTGCAGTAGAGATAATCTACAACCGTTTATTGCACAGCCCGCTGGATTACTTGGAATGTCTTTTTATTTTTCAGGAGAAGATCCAAAAACTGCAGTAAAGGAACAGTTTTGAAAGATTTGATAGGACTATCACATCAGCCTATACCTCCAGTAGACATGGAGTTATGGGGTTCTGCAAATTAGGGTGAAAAAAAGGACCAAAGGGGATGCTCTGATTTTCAGAATACTTGGGAAGTGTGGAAGTGAGCCGTTTTGAGAGCCCTGTACAGAGATCTCTGGAAATTGATGTCCAGGTAGGTGCTGTGCAGATGCATTTGCCTGGTGGTTCCATATAACCCTTTTTATGTCTATGAAGATGCCTGCAGTTAGACTAGGTGCAACTTGGTATTTTGTCATTTTTTTTTAAATTGATCAATAAGCCTTATGTTCTTAAACAATCCTGATGTAGCAGTGATTAACCCTGAACCCATCCTTATCTGTGGTGCTCCCCGGTGACCCAATCTACCACGGACACAACACTCATTCTTTTCTCTGGAAATGACAGTAAGATATTTGGAGAGACAAGTACCCTCTTTTAAAGATATAAGATTGGACAGCTTGTATTATTTTTAAAAATTTGGGGTCAAATTCCTTTCTGGCTCAGTACGTTTGCAGCATATTGATTTTGCCAAAGTTACGTAAGGCATAAAAACAGCCCTTTGTTACCAAAAGCAGTACAGCTGTTTCCAGGACCATGAGTTGTGTATGACTTCTCTTTTTAACTTCCTACTGGCTTTTTAAAAATATACTTTAAATCAGTTTTGCTTTTTGGCACTGAAGAGAAACAGCAATAAATTCTTCCAAGAACTGGAGATTTGGCCAAAGCATTAAGTTTTCATGTGCTAAGAATGCAAAGTCATTTTAAACTCTGACATTTACAGAATTCTATAGAATATGAGAGGAGTATATATGATTGCATATATCTAAAATTCAGATTGGAGGTACTAGGAGTATCCCATTTAATCAATGGTGGAACACAGCTACTGAGTGGCTGCTGAAGTTATTTTAGATAAGCAAGCAGTCTCGACCATGTCGGACCAAGATAGCATCAGAGTGGCTAAAATGTTGGTTACTGGAATACCTTGTAAAAGTGAATTCATGTTAGCAGCAGTGGAAAAAAAAATATGAGTTTAGGCTACAGTCCCACTCTTGTGGCAATGTACTCATATATTGTTAATTAACTATTAAAGCTTAGTAAGGTGGGTAGTCTGAAAAAGTAATAAACACATACAGGGGAAGACTGTGCAATGCTTACTGAAGTATATTGTGTAATCCTGTCTGGATTAATGAGACAACCCCTGATGATTAACCCTTGCTTTTCCTTGTCCTCTTTCTATAGTACTTCAAACAGAGTTTTGACAAACTGGCCTTAGTATCACAACAATGTGAGAGTGTTTGCTTCTGAAGCTTGTTTCATTTTGCTCCAACTTTTGTGCCAGGGATCTTACCTGAGCTAAGTGCTACTGGCATGTACTCCAAATTAATCATGCTCTTCTGAAGTAATATCATCCCATTCTTCTGTGTCCATGGGATTGCATACAGGGGCTCATTTCAACAAAACCGTGGCCCCAGCCTTTGTTTGATGCTGAAAGATTCTCCAGTTGTACAAAATCTGCAGTCATAGAATAGAATCATAGAATCATTAAGGTTGGAAAAGACCTCTAAGTTCATCTAGTTCTTGTTAGTGTTAGGCCAGAGTTTGGACTAGGTGATCTTGGAGGTCTCTTCCAACCTAGATGATTCTGTGATTCTGTGGTCTTCTGCAGTCTCCTGTTTCTTATAAAAGTAACAGGGAAAGAGTGAGGCAGAAGCCTGTTAAAAAACAAACAAACAAACAAAACAAAACACACACACAAAACAAACAAACAAACAAACAAAACAACCAACCTTGTTCCTTGTCAGACATTGTGACTACACTTTAAAATGTTCACATCTGTGTCATTTAATACTCATGACTGCATGATTTGCCACAAAAATGCAGATGCTGGTGGAAGAGAGAACATGGTGATCTGCAGACTGTTATCTAAACACATGTGCATGTGTGCAGTCCCCTAATGATCCAGAGCTGTCTGGCATGTCTATGTAGCCTGGTTTGCTACAACACTATCTCCCCTGTGCCACAACGCTGAGCCAGAGCAGTGCATTATACACACAAAGAAAACAACATGTGGATAAACTGCGTGGTTTGCCCCAAGTCACCTGGCAGCCTGTGCCAGATCTGGGGGATTTTATGAGTTAGTTTTATGGATTGCAGTCCAGCCTATTTACCACAAGGCTCACAAAGCAAGGAATTTATGACACCTCTGCTCAATCCAACCCACTGTTTAACACAGTCACTGCAGTGCTTTTGCTCCTGTGGTTCTGCACAAGCACCCAGATACTTGACTCACCTCTCAAGGGCACTGCTGAGAATTAGGTAAAGCATACAAAGCAGCCTGAATATTAAAAACACACCAGTTCTTGGTACTATATGGAATGGTGGCGTTCCCATGTTTTAGGTTACATTTGCTAAAGTTACTTCACCTGCACATCTAAAATTAATTCATGTATTTGCACTCATCTCTCTAAGGCTTTTGGTCTGTTTTATGAGATGAAAATAACAGCATGAATTTTCCTGACTGCTGTGTTCAAGACCAAATGTAAAAACTCAGTGAAGAATTAATGAGTGAAATCTCCAAATGCTATTACCGAGTCATGCATCTTGCACACTTGCATAAATTTAATGAAATGAGAGAAATTTCGAAACAGTATTACACTTGTGCATCTTGCACACTTGCATAAATTTCAACAAATGAGTGATTTTTAATATAAATAATGTCAGAGACACAACCATGCACTACTGGCTGAGACATTACTTGATAGTTCTCGTATACATTATGAACCTCGTTTGTTTGCTTCAAAGGTTTTCAGTTCTGTGTTTGAAGTCTGGCAAGAAGCTCACAACAAAAAGCTGATGCAAGGCTTTTGTGATGGATTGTTTGAAGGCACAAGTCAGTGGATCTGCTGCATACCACCACCACAATTACAGGCAATTAGTTATTCATTTAATAGAACAGCTACTAGGTTTTAAGCCAAATTGTACCAATGCACTCAGAAATGCATATCACACAAACACCGTTCCTTTGTCTCTCTGTGGATACATATGTGTACACGCATGTACACACCCGTGTCAGTTGTACAGAGACATACATTCGTGTAGGTGGGAAATATGCATAAGCTACTTTTTTTCCATTCCTTGGGCACAAACCTGTGAATAAGCACATGTACGAGTTGGTGCAGGATCAGGCCCTGGGTCTGCATTTGCAAAAGCAATACTGCTGCTTAGCAACCACTTTTTGCCCAGATGAAAGCAGCAACCTTGCAAATCAGAAGCAACTATCTAGGTCCATGCAAAGGCCAAGTGAAATAAAGTGAAAAGTGAAATTACACTAACTGAGCCTGCTCCTCTTTGGTTATGGTAAAAATTTCCGTGAAGAAGTAGAGGCAGTATAGGGCATAGAACTTTAAAGGAAGGATTTAAATAAAATAAATTAAAAAAAAAAATATGCACAGAGAGTTTTCAGCCTCTGTGGAAAATAAAATCAGACATCTGAATGAGATAAAAATAAATTAATTTGCATTTTTAAAGCCAAAACCTAAAGTGGATTTTTTCTTTCTCTCTAGAGTACAAATACCTGTTCCTTTTCCCATAAGATTTAATGTGGAATGCACAGGACATGGAATTACTTTTTATGTCTTTACAGTTATTTTTATTCATGTCAGTCAGACATCCTCATTTCATTAATGCTTAAGGCTTCAAAAAGAGAGCCACAATCACTGGGCTGCAGAGCTAGTGCTCTTCAGTTTGTTCACTGACATACTAGGTGCTCACTGGCAAACTGCTAGCAGTCAAATTTGCAAAGATTGGTGGATTTCCAGAAATGCAGCTGGCACCCAGATATCACATTTTCAAATGAAGATCTAATGAAAAGAAAATGAGGTGCCTAAATCTCAGGGCAACTAGATGCCTAATCTATTAAGGTACTTTTGAAAATCCCATTAGACATCTAAATATCTTTGGAAAATCTGGTGCTCTGAGGTTGAGCAAGATCCCCTTGAAATCTTTGGGTGTCACTCTGCAAACTTCAGGAGGTTTTGTGTTAGGCTGTTCTATTTTACCAGTTTTGTACCTCTCAACAGCAAATACTAATCCTGCAGCTGCTGCATGGAAGTGGTGTGCCCACCCTTGATTATCAGCTCATACCAGAGAGAACAGTGGGATACGTAACCAGGTAATTTCTTACTCTACATTAGTTTAGAAATTAGAAATTAGGAATTAGAAATAACGTGAGTCCTTGAACATGAGTGGCTACAGAAGAGTGGATGAGCCTCTTGGTTTGTGATCTGGAGCCAGTGGGATGGAGAGTTTGCAGGGAAGAGGTCTCAGCCACCTTTTCTCAAAGTGACGCCTGAGCACCCCTGCCACAGGCTGACTCCCATTACACACACAGCTTTTTCACCACTTTCATTCACCAGCCCCCTTAGGTGTCATCCACTGTATGGAGAAAATCCCTGTTTCTGATCTGATCACCTGTGAATACGTACTACCCGTACTTATATGTCATTTTCAGTGACTGTTTTGTAATGTGGAACTTTAAAGCCTGTAGAAAAACAGTTTCATTGTACAAATGCTCCCCCTTCATATCCTGTTTCCCAATCAGGCTGTAGAGTAGATTTGCATGTTTCTCTGTATTCATCTCTCTCTATTCCTCTATCTGCAGCACACAATCATGGCCCAATACCTGTCTAAAGAAGCATAATTTCTGCCCAGATGATGAATGAGACAGAAAAGCACCACTGCTTTCTACACCTCTTCATCTAGAGATGTTGGGGTGAAGAGACTAACCCCTGTGTCTCTTCCAACAGAAAAAGCTGCTGCTTAAGCGTGTGAAAAATACAGAGGCCTGATGATATTTTCAAAATCACCTGAAGCTTTTCATTTTCTTCAGGACTTAGGTATTTCCAAAAAACTAGTATTGGGGATTTAATGTTAAAGAAAACCAAATTTGAATGCTAAAACTGTGGCCTTACTTTGAAAATCCAATCAGCAGGGAATGGATTATTTTGCTATACCATTCCAGTAACAAATAAACAATTAATAAAAAAAAAAAATCATTTTAGAATGCCCCAGAATGCCTCAGTGCCAATTTTTTAATCGTTTGATCATGGGTTACCTTCAAGCAATGAGCCCAGCTTTGCAAGGTGTCCAGATACCTTAGTTCTCATAGCAGGAGAATCTCAGCAGGGTTGGCCTTGCAGGGATTAGAGAGGTGAGAACTGAGATCAGATGGGATTGAATGCACAAATTTTCTTGACATTCTTTGACTCTGTCCATTCCTTGGCAGGGAAATATCTTGTCTGATTAACTCTGCATGGTCTTGTTCTTGGAACCAAAAGGCAAGCAGGTTGGCTCCTGCAGCTACAGCAAAAAGGAAAACAGCAGAACTGCCTGGCAAGTGTAAGTCAGAATTTGTTGTGGAGAAGCTTTAGAAAATTGCTAAAACTCAGGAATCTTTAGGAGCATGGTAACAACATTCCCTTATAAAAGAAGGGAACCGAAAATATTTGCAAATTCTTAATGTAATGATATTTTATAGCTTATAGTAAGAATAAAGTGACACACTCATAACTGTAAGACATTTCAGTGCGGAATTGCAAACCTTACTAGCATCACGGTTTGGTGCTGGAGGCTGCTTTTGTACTGATGTCGACATACTAATATTTGGAGGGCTTTGAGCAAGGAAATAATACATAAGCTGGAGGCATGTCTGAAGAAAGCATTCTGTGTACATAATGTCATCATAAACAAAAATGAATGTTACAAAAATACGTTTATTTTCTCTGGTTATCTTCCTATTTTGAAACCTTAATATGAAATGGTATAAAAATCTTCAGGAATGCAGCAACTGGTGCTGTTATTTTTAAGAAAGAGTAGTTGGTATTGTCACTAAATATTTGGTGAACTTTGGTTAGAGACAAATGAGTGCTATGAATACTGTTTAGGAAACACTGCCAAACAATGTTTTTGATATCATGGCTCGTAGAGGAGAAGTAAATCTCTAAAGAAAAGCAAACTTTTAAATACATTCTGGTTAAAACAGAGCTAGAAAATCTATTTTCTGGGATGCATCTTTTCAGGAAGAAGTTATGGGGCTGTGTGGAAGGGAAGGAGTGCTTCTTGATTTCTAACAGTGAAAACAGTTTTCAGTTTTATGAGGATTTTCCACAAGATTAATGCTATCTTTGGGTATGAATATGACTGGCAAAAGACTTATGGACAGCTGGGGGAGATTGTCACAGAAATGCCTGTGGAAAAATGTTATGATTAACAGGGAGCTTTCTCTCTCAGGCAGAGTAAGTCCATCTCTGAGACAATTGATCCTTGACATGTGCAAACAGGGTAAAACTGAGAGCAACTGCACTCAGAATAAAAATGGGAAATTGTGTCAATTAACTTTGCTTGCATTTTCATGAATGTTTATCAAGGGAAATCACTCCAAGATGAAAGAGGAAATAAAGTACAGGATACTCAGCAAATCACCACCGAAGTTTAATAGTTATGAAAATATAATAGGACTTGTAAATTACAATGGTGTCTTTCAAGGCTGCCAACCATGGAATAGAGAGAGAAGTCATATGATGGGAAATAAAGTTTACAACCCTGGTCCGTGTAAGTTGATTGCAACCAGATAACAAAATTTTATCTCTCTCAGCCTTCCTGTATATTACACTCTAACTGCAATTAATAGCTCTGTGTGCATAAAGTCTCTTTGCAATTAGCTTGTTCTCCTTAAGCTTGAAACCAAGAATGTAATTTGGAGATAATTGTTAATCTGGGAAAGGTCTGTGAGTCAAAAGCAATCTGAGAATAAACAAACACACCTCCTTTGCTGAAAGCAACATGCTTGTAAAGTCTTGTGCAAATACTTCATGAAAATTAATATAAAAATAATTAAAAAAAAAATCTGTAAAGCCCCAAAAACATCACACTAGCAAGGCTCTCATATTCAGAGTTGTGACAGAGTGAGAAAAGTCATCTGTAACAGCAAAACTCAGAAAAGAGCTGGGCTGCCTCATGTATGTGGTGCATTATGGAGTGCACAAGCTAAAATTCATGGGAGCTACTTAACCCGGCATCAGCCTTTCCTTTGGAGTAGAGGTTTTGAAGTCTGAATGCTCAGGTACATCCTACTAATTGTATCTTTGTGTCTGAGTGAATCAGTGGGTCACTAAAGCCCAACAACCCCTCCTTTGGGCTGCAAAACATAAGTCTTACGCTGATCAGTGGTACAGGAGGATAATTCACAAGAAGCAGCAAAACCTCCCTCACTTCACAAAGTCAATATCCTTCACTGAACAAACTTTACAAAGAGCTAATAAACCTTGTCCCATCTTTGCATGAAGGAGGCAGATGTTAGTAATCTCATCTCATGAAATCTGACATCTTGGAGAGATATGAAGTGACTTGACCAGCTGAGCTGAATCCCTGTCTTAATCATTAGGTAACAACCTTAATATGATATAATATTAGTTTTAAATATTAAAGCTTCAAAACAGGAAATCTGTTTCCAGATGAAAATTAAACTCCTTAAAAGGGAATAAATACAGTGCAAATTCCTTAGAAGTGCAAAAATGGCTTTAGTTATAGCACATACATTAGTAAATATTATAAATGCTTCTTATTAATAAACCTCAGATAATTCACTGACCAAAACTGGATGCACAGCTGTTGATGGGCTCAACTCATCACGCTGACTCTGTTGTACCTGGAACATTGTCTTTGTAATCTAAATTATGTAGAATCATGGGATATCTCCAGTTGGAAGGGATGCACAAGGATCATGGCATCCAACTTCTGCCTCTCCACAGGACAACCTAAAAAGCAAACCACATTTCTGGGAGCATTGTCCAAACACATGAACTCCAGCAGGATTGGGGCTATGCCCACTGCCCTGGGCAGCCTGTCTCTGTGCCCAACCACCTCTTGGTGCAGAACCTTTTCCTAACACCCAGACTGACCCTCTGCTGTTCCAGCTCCATGCCGTTCCCTCAGGTCCTGTCACTGTCCCCAGAGAGCAGAGCTCAGCAACTGCCCCTCTGCTCCCCTTGTGAGGGAGCTGCAGGCCTCCATGAAGTCTAGAAAAGCAGTCTAGGGATTCATAGTTTTTACATTTCCTCTCTGCTTTGAATGTTGTGGTACAGAGCATAGTATTCACACTTTGCAGACAAAAAAAAACCAAAACATCTTGAAAATTGTAGGAATTCTCTCAGGAGAGCATTTCCGCCCACATACCGCTCCCTACTGTGTACTTCTGCATCTGAAAGCAGGAGAATTGAATTGGAGGGATGGTGGGGTAAGCAGAGAGAAAGAGGGTTGCCTTCTTCATCCTTTCTCCCTCCCCTTTTCCACCATCTTTCCCCATACCTTTCCCCATACCATCAGCAATCATATCTATAACATGAGCCATGGAGTACTATAGGCTAAACAAAGCTACAGGTAAAAAGAAACTGATATTTGTATAATAATACATGCTCCAGAGGGGTACTATAACCCCTCCCATCCAAACCTGTTTGCCTCTGTAGAAATGTTTTTGCATGTCTTGGCAGAATGTCCATAACAGAAGATAAGCTGTTGTTTACAGGTGAGCCCATTGTGTTTGACCTTAAAATAATTCCTCAAGGTAGTGGGACTTATTTCTGTAGCATTTGAAATTTGAAATTTATATTTTAATTTGGCAATAGTATTTAACATACGACATAACAATAAAATAGGGACTGAAAAAGTCGATTATTATGTGCAGTGTTTTGTGGAAAGACATTATTTACTTGTTTGCTTCATTCCAATATTTACCGTTCTAAATGTCAGCACTGTTGGGTTCAATGGCCTCACTCATAATTTAGATAATTTTATGTTTTTCAGGAGTGGTTTGTATTTCACAGTAATAACACATGCTGCCACATTTATAAACAGCTACTATCTCCCTTCACAAATCATTTTCACTGAGAAAAATATACGAAAAGGGGTGAATTCGTGAACAGGAGAATATGGTTTCAAATGTTTCATGTTAACTCTTACCTTGTCCCTCTTTGTCCTTTAACAGTTCATCTAAGGCTTAGGTCTTCAGTCAACTAGCAGCATCTAGCTGCTAAAGAGAGATGGCAGATGCTTGCAAATGCATGGTGTCAGTCTGGCCATGCTTTACCCCTTGAAAAGGGAAAAGATGCAGCTGGGCAGCACCAGTAGGGTCCATGACTCCACCACACACAACGTTCATGGCCACTAAATTACTTTCTGCCTTATGCAAATGGAAGAGCTGGCAGCAATCTGCCCTTGCTTCATGTTTTGCCGAGTCTGGGCTGCTGAGGATCGGGTAGCAGCAAATCTTTCCTGGTAACTGCTGCTGTCCACAACCTCCTAGCAATGCCGTGCTGTAAAACCTGGTAGAGAGCTTGAGTCATAATTTTGATACTCAGTTTCTCACCTACAGCAAGGTGGTAAATACAGCATTTCAGTGAGTGGCAGATAGGCCAGAGAGCAATTACACACCCCAGAATGAAACGCTTCACATTATTAAAGCTCAGTTTAATGCGGGGGATTCAGTGGGAGACTACATTTAACTCCAGGGGCTATAGAACAGAACCTAAATACAAAACATTATTACTTTATTTTTTGCTTCTTAAAATATGCTGCTGTTACTGAGAATTATGTAAATAAAAGTATAATTTATTTTTCAACACAATAGATAGCTGCAGCACACATATATTTTTGTATTAGAGAAGTAGAATTTAATAAGGCTACTTAACACTGGGAAGCTTAACATTACCTGGGTTATTTTGTTACTCATAATGTATTAATCAAATGAATCTTAGGCAGGTTTCCTTATTCTCTGTCTTTACAAATAGTATTTCCTTTTCTTCTACAATTTGTTTTTATGTTCTTTGCTTAATGTATAGCCTTTTTTAATGAAGAACCTCAATGTTACCACAAATGTGATTTCTTACTCTTTGTAGTTACGGGAACTGTCATGCAGAGGAACGGCTGGGCCTAACATCTGATACCCTTCTTCACTTGCGGAAACAGATCAAGTTCTGTCACTAAAAAAAGCCGATAATCTGACTAACCTAAGCAACAATTTTCTCTAATGGTGGCTCCACTTCGGGTGTTGCTAGTTTTAAACATTATTTTCCAAAAATCCACATTTCGGGTAAGTTACTGCTGTCTTTTAAGTAAATATAAAAGTATGTAAACTTTATCAGATTCTACTTAAGCATGTCATTGATGATGATTATTGAGATTTTAAGGACCAGCCTTGTTACAGGAATAGTTCTATAGTGATAGTTCTAGTGATAGTTCTATTAGATAGTAATGCTGCAGGGAGTTTTATATAAGGAGGAAACAAATGGGTGCCCCTGTGTTTCACACTTACCAAGTGGTAACAGCTTTGGTTTGGCCCATGCTATATGGAAGCTATCAGAAAGTGCTTCATAGCAATACATGTATCCCCAAATGCCAGTCACACACAGCCTTAACAGCACAGAATAATTAAACTTTTTCAGCTGCTATGCTTCCTTCTGGAAGATCTGAGGAAGCGACAACATAACCTTCGGGAAGACTATTTTTTCCATAGTATGCAGAACACAGGAAGACCTCAGGACTTCTGCTGATGTGGCCAAGGTTTACTTATTTACTTATTTCCTTTACAAGGAAACTTATCCCTACATGAAATACCATTTGCAAATATGAAAGCCGTAGCATATGAATTAAACAAAAAGCCAGCTTATAGTGCTGAAGCAGTGCTCTGTAGGGATTGAAATATATACTCTCCAAGCAGAATCCGTAATAGTTCACAAAGTCCCTAAGTAAAGAGTGTAGCAGGTTTACAACTGCTAAGAAAACAAGAGCAGGAAATCTAGAGGAGATCATAAATGCAAGCATAAAATGAAAAGGATGAAAATGCTGAGATGAATATATCTTATGTTCATAAATGCAGTAGAGTCTCTATCATGCAAATCATTTTTATTTTGTGTCTTGATTTTTACCTGGGGCTTTAACAGCTACTGCAGTTTTGGATCATTTGTCAGAATGGAACAATTTATCTGAAATAATTTATATCACATTATCTCTGCTGACTCCACTGGTATTATGTCTTTATCTCTCTCCTTCTCTCAAATAAGAGGTTCACAAATTTTCATTCTTACTTAAAAGAGTTATACACTTTTAGAGTCAAATCCAATTTTCAAGTCAATACAAGGTTTTTCATTTTTTTTCTATGGGAACTGGATCAGAATTTCATAGCATAAACTAAATTAGGTATCACATTGTAGTATATAAGTTGTAAATTTCTGGGAGATTTCATGAATTGAGGCAGTTTGAAAGCTGAAGCTAACATAAAACATATTTAATAGATGGAGTAAGAGCTTCTTATTTAAAATTCATTAAAAATAATTTAACATGAAAATGTCCTGGCTCCAGATTATATCCAGAACATATCAGGCTGTTAGTGGTACACAGCCAGATCTCATATGACGCCATGGGGGAGGGAGAAAAAAGGGAAGATAAAGACAAGTTGTAAAATTTCTTAAGGCTATAATTATTCAAGATGTAAGAAACATTAGCTGTTAACAAAATCTGTAGAAAGTATTATCTATAGTGAGCAAGTGTTGTTTTCTAGATTCTGGAAAGAATTTAGCCTGTATGTTTCTCCAGAAAACACTGGATAGCTTGTGAATCTGCAAGGCAACAGTCATTAGTTGGAGGCACTTAAAACCATGAAATCTCTAGTGTGAGATAAGTTTTTTTTTTTTCAAAATTTTAAGGAGGAACTTGGTAGGCTCTGCATCCCTCTTGGGTGATAGCAATTATTCATGTTGCTACCATCATAAATGCTGTTATCCTTTGTGAAACTGGGAGCTTATATAAATATATGAAAATACCACTAGCCTCCAGAGACAAAACTTGTAAGCAAAAAAATGAAAAATAAACTATTATAATGTGTAAGGAATGGCTGATGAAGCATTACTAAATTTGCAGAAGTATTTTCTGATCATTGACTATCACAAAAAGAATGACTTAAGTCACTATAACTCTGTTATGTGGTACATTTAGTGCCCACGGTTAAAGAACAAAGGTATCTAACTATCAGTATCATTCTATGTTGAAAAAAGGAAACAGTGCTAACTGTGCTAGGATGAAGGGGACTTGAGGACAAACAAAAATAGTGAACACAGCTTGGGATACAGAATAATTAGCCAAATTACTTTTTGAGTAGAAGCTACCTCATACTGATGAAGCTTAAACCTGCTGGGTCTTTCTAGAAATTTTCTTAAATTTCTGCCTTATTACTACAGCCTTTTCTTTTAATTCCTTGAATGTAGTGGGCTTTGACAAAGATATCACAGAACCACAGAATCACAGAATGATTGAGGTTGGAAGAGACCTCCAGAGACCATCTAGTCCAACTCCCTTTCTGAAGCAGGGTCATGTATGCATGATGAAAAATGAAATGAAAGCATATGTTACAAAATAGCCTTGGTATACGGCAGCCTCAAACTAAGCTTGAGGCTTCCTTATTTTATACAAAGGAGTGGACATGTGACTGAATCTGAAGACAAAAAGCAGGGAAATAAGTGTTTTATCTCAGTGTTTGCTTCCTACGTAGATCTCTGGACTGACCTGTGGCAGACCAAACCTTTTTTAAGGCAAACCATATGGGGTATATGAATTAAGATTGCATATGATTAGCTTTGCATCTTCGTGCTTCTAAGTTTATAAGTTTACAAGAGTTTCTAAACTCTTGTAAGTTTATAAGTACAATATTTATTTTTTTTGATTACAACATAGACAGTAAGTGGGAGACCCCATGTCTGTTAGGACTGCATACTTTAAGAGATGCATTTGTATTTGGAAAGACATGACAAATCCCTATCCTGTGAACTTCCTTTAGTGATTTGTTAAGAATAGTGAAGCAAAGTAAAACCAATTTAAAAAGATGTTTAATAGAAAAACATTATTCAGGATAACATGATGAAGTACAACAGGAAGTTGGACATTTAAATTTTAACATCTAGTGTTAACAATTAGCTCAAGATATTTACTGAGTGACAAAGTTTTCAGAATATTTTCACTCCATGTAATAAAGCTGTAATGTAAATACTGTCCATGTATTTGGGAAATAGCAGATTTAATTGTGAAGTGGTTATCCAGTAATACGTACAATATGTCAGTCCTTCTGTATTTACTCTGCTTTGTTTCAGTAGTAGCTACCAAATATTTATTTTTTCCTTGAAATAACAATACTTTTTTTGTTGTTGTTGTTTTGTTTTGTTTTTCATCTACAAGGGCATGTTTGGTTTGGAAATTCTGGTATCATATAATGGAAGATTTCTGTCATTTTGACTTGCAAAACAGGATTTGATTACTGAATTCATAGATCAGCACTAGTATTTACAACTTGTAATTCCTGTGGGAGAAATGCACAAAACTCAATGATATAATCCTATTGAGTATTTGAAAATGTAATGTCCAGTGGCAAAGAATCATTGGTTTGAAGAATGGGATTTTATTATTTTCATCTATGAAGTTATCATTTCATGTCAAGGTTGGCATGGGCTAAAAACTGTACAATTTGTGCTTGCTGGCTAGAAATATGATGTTTCTTCTATTCCAGAGGGAGAGATATTTCTATTACACAATGTTTCAGTAAAAAGGACAAGGATTGAAGAGATTTGAAGACTGAACTCTTTCTTTCTTTCCATGGCCACTCAATCAACTTTTTTTACATCAACATCGTGGCTGACAGACTGCTCTAGTGTAAGTACTGCTCAGTTCTAGCCAGGCTGCCACTGTTCTGGGGTTAGAGAAACGACAACATGAATGTTACCTAACCTGATGCATGTGAAAAAATAAAACTGCACTGGAGACTGTATGTTGAAGAAGAACGAGTCTGCTATAGGAGGTTATTTAAGAAAACATAGCATAAATCATAACATCTATTTGCATGCTAAAGGAGAAAACTACTAAAAAATGCCTTCATGGATAAACAAAGCAAGAAGGTGAAAATAGTATGAGTGTCTGTCTGAATAATGAGAGGTTTGGATATATCGACAAACAAGACTACTCAGGAGCAATGAAGAGATTTCAGAGCAGACCTATTTTCTCTTGCCATCTCCAGCATGCAGATAGTGCAAGTAAGAGTGGAAAATGCAAGATCTGTTCTTCATTTTTATACTACTTGATGTTTTTGAGGAAGGGAACATCTTGTTCTTTCCTGGCTGGCTCAGTTTCAGTTTCTGTGACAGTTTTTAAACTGTTCTTCTTAAAAAAACAATGTCACCTTATTAAACGGAGGTGAACAAGATACAGTATAGCAAATTTACATCTGGTGTTAGCATGTAGAGGTGATGGCCGGCACAACTGCCTGCAAATGGCATATTTCTATATGATCTTCTGCATTTAGGGAAAATTAAGACATTTTAAAAAAATGAAAAAAAGAAAAAAAGCACCCTAATCCTTCCCCCCCCCCCCCCGCAAATCTGAAAAGGAAGGAGAACAATAAACAAGTTGTCAAAACAGAGAAAAAGACGAAGTACTCATTCACTTCGGCTTTATCCAAGGCTTCTTTTGCCTTTGTTCTGCTCTAGCTCTGGAATACTGAGGCCAGTGTTTACTAATTACCAGGAAATGAAAAGTGTTTGCTGAATAGTGCTAAGAGCAGATTCTCACATTTAAAGCCTACGTAGACTTAACATGTTCCAGAAAAAGCTCGCCCAGAACTGTAAGAAAATATTGCATTACTAGATAATTGGAGCTCAAGGTGGGAGCATTATGTAATAGCACTTTGAGATCCAGCTGCATTTTACCTATTTACCCATCCCTCTAAGCACAAGAGACAGTAATTCTTACCACACCTTAGAAACTTGCCATTGAAAGGTGTGGCCTATTGTTGTCGGAATTACATCAGATCTCAAACTTGCACGCATACAGTGAAGAAGTAGCTAGAGCCTGCCAGTTAAAGCAGAAAGAAAGAAGAAATTTGTAAGAAGAATGTGGGAGAAAAGCAGCTTAAAGTTTACCATAAATAACCTTCTCTCCCCCTTCCTCCCTTTAGCTTACTAAAAACTTAACTGCCTAAAAATTTATTTGGAGAACTGGAAATAGGTGAGGATAAGGGTGCTGGCATACCACCAGCTATCAAGAGAATGCAGAATGTATGTCTAAAATGAAGACTTACTAATCGTAGCGTGGTTTGGGTTGGAAGAGACCTTAGAGATCATTTAGTTCCACCTCCCCTGCTTCAGGCAAAACTATATAGGAAAGGAAAGTCTATGTGAGCTGGAATAACTCATGTTACTGGCAGTGAGTGGTGTGCAGTCTTGTGAAACCTGATCACCAGTTTAAATCCTAGCCAGGCAGGGTTAGAGATCGCTGCTGTCAACAAAGATGTCAGTTGATTTGGGCAAGATATTGTTGGTTGGACATTTGATAAATTAATGCCTATATAGAATATTAACTTTACTTCTCTAGCTGACAGATTGAGCTCAAATGTATGAATTAGCATTGTTAAGTTCATGTCTGCTTTCTGAGATGGTTGTCAAATTAGGAAGTGTTAGTGTGCATTGAAACTGTGTTGTTTTCCTAAAGATACTTTTAAAAAGATTGAAAATGAGAAGTACTCTGAGTATATTTGAATTTTCTAAAGGGGAAAAAATTCCTAAGTAGTCTGCAGAAGTTATTGTACTGCTAGTTTTATCAGTAGGTTTGCAATAAATCCATGTTTTATATATAGAAACAAAACTGTATTAGCATTCAGTGAGAAAAAGGCTATTTTAGTCTGTTCATCCACTAAGGAGATAAAGCAGAATGTTATGTCAGCTTTGACAGCAACTCTGAGTTTTCCTGGATATGTCTAAGAAAAAGGTTTTATAACTATCACCATATGGAAGTATAACATGCACTGCAGCCTAAAGCTATTTCCTTTGAAAGCAGAGCTCTAGATTCCTGTAATAAAACCATGGATATAAAAGCCTGTTGTTAACCTGACAAAACAAGGTATCTGACATGGTTAAGTCATAGCATTTTTCACCAGAATAAACTTGCAATTTCCTATTAGTACCTGCAGCTGGATATAGACTAAGCACACATTTTAATTTTCTTATGATTTTTTTGGCCAAGGGTCTCTAAAAACGGCTTTAGGTAGTAGCTCCAGACCTTTGGGTATCTGATTAGTTCAGAGCACATAGGACCTTATCCTTCCAGGTAGAAAAACCCAACCAAACAGATATTTCAAGCCATTTTGGGGAGAGAAAGGACAGAGGTCTGGTAAACTGTCTAAATCCAACAAGGTTTGTTGAGTTCATGGGTTTTTTTTTGAGCAGAAAAATACTGTGTGCTGTGGTGCCCTGGAGCTTGTCCAGCTCCTTTAGGCACATAAATTCTTCAGACAAGAAGGTAACGTATACTCCAAAGGAGTGCAGAATTTCTGTTGCTTCTGTGCTACTGTCCATTAAAACAATATATAAAGACCAGGTGGGTAGTTTTAATGGAGAAGACATCTGCTGCCTTTTATCTTTTCCACATCTTTTTCCTATAAGGGGTAGCTGAGAGAACAGGCTTTGACTGTCTTTGTCACGAGTGCACAGATAGTTCCACTGCTTCTTTTTGCTTTATCTTTTTTTTTCCCCTCCAGGAAAGAAAACTGCTGTGAGAAGTCTTTTTCTGCTTTCTGTCAAACTACTTGAGTGGGGTTGCAGCAACATGAGGGGTTATCTTTTACGTTGCAAGAGCAATGTAAACTTTTTTCCTTTCTCTACAACCTGGCATATGTGCTCCTTTGTCTGCTTTTCTTAAATCTAACCACAAAGGTGATGCAGTGTGTAGGGCAACATGCACCCACTAGTATGGGTGAACTCCCTCTGTTTTGAACCACTTTTAACTAGTGAGCAGAAGGGAAAATATTCATAAAAGCAAACATAAAAGCAGCCTGTTGGAAAGTATGGTGATTGTTACAGGTTACAACAAGACCAAAAATCTTAGTTGTTTGTTACATGTTCTAGCCAGATCTCCGTGTTTGTTTAAAATATAATACGTCTATACTTATTTTGAATAAAAGACCATAGCCATACTGGTGTTTAATGTGAGTGTGTTCACATGTCAGGGCTTAAATTCAAGAAAGAATGAGTAAAATAGTTGTTGGCCCTCTTTTTTTTGACAAGAAGTCACCATCTTATTAACTGTCAGACGCAGGTTTATACAAGGTGTTCTGAGTAATAGCAGAAGTAATCACTGATGTTGTGAAAAATAATGCTGTGATGTTAATGAATAGATTTTTTAAATTATCAGTCTTTAGGGAATAACAGTCATAACTCTGTAGGCATTTACAAGTAAATAAATGTACTGTATATAACCAAAGTAAATCTAAACTTCTGGAGCACAGCAGAGAGACACAAGTGTTAGAAATTCAACCTGAGATAGAATGTTGCCATAAAAGGGTAATCCTCCCTATGTAGAATGCTATTTCCGTCAGCACCTCAGGAAAATCATAAATGTTAGATCACCATACATCAGTAGGTTAATGCCATTTTATCAGATAAAACCATTGCCAGCAAAACTCAAACTGGCCCAGGCTTTCTACAGCACTGGATGAAATAGTGTTGATGGAAGACCAATTCTTGTGATTATCTGCATGTAATTATTTTCTACTTTCAGTTTTTATTTATAGGCTTAGAATATATGTCTGCATAAGCATATTCACATGAATAAAATAGCAAGTTGACAACGACTGACATTATGAATTATTAAACTAGAGGTAGTAGGTAACTAATATCTATTGTACAACTGTTAAGATTTGGAAATGTTTTGATTCATAGATTAGATATAACTCTCCCTACTGTTGACACTGAGCAAATCCCCTCTTCTCTGTCATTCATTGGAATAAGGGGAAAATGCACTCATTTTAGGACAGGTTTGTACCACCACCCACCAGTCAGTAGTAAGCATACTGTCTGTGTATCAAGACAAGCATGTGATGGAAGATTTTGGGGACATGGCATGAAGACTGAGGGGAGCAGAACAGTCACCAATTGCCTTGCTGTGTTTGTGTTGTGTTTGTTTAGGTAATGTCCCTCCTGTTAACTGGCACACAATCAACACTTAACTCACATAAAATGTGAAAGGAAGACATTATTAATTAAAACTCAGTGGAGAGGGCAACCTGAAGCATCTGCTTTGTTGTAAAATTCACAGAGGACCGAATATGAATTTTCTTGCTTAAAAAAATCCAGAAAAAATCCTGAAAATATTTCTGTAGTTTCTTTCATAAGAAACTAGTCCAGCAGCTACATTAAATGTCAGACGTGCTGACAAGCAAGAGGGAAAGGGAGAATGTGAAAAATGGCTTCTTTTGGCCCACAGGAGGATAAAACCATTATCTGAGTTAGTATCCAAGAACATGTTACCTCCTCCTGCTACCTACCCTCAAGGGTCTGCATCTTCATCTGAACAAAATGTATGTGGTTTTAGACTTTAGGTTGCTGTGTGAATGCTTTGCATAGCTGCCTTGATGCCAGGAATGCGTTTCTCTTCTCCAGAGAAGCTTTTCCGCCTTTGCCTCACACAAGGATGGAGCCCTTGCAGTGCCATGGCCAGTGTTTAGGTCCTGCTGAGGTGAGGAGACAATGGTGGGTGCCCTCATGGTGGCAGTGGTGAACCCCCAAAAGGGACTTTTTCTCCTTAGATTAGGGAATTTGGAAAGGGGACGTGAAAGGTGCCATTTTAACGAGTGAAGTCACTCTTTCTTCCTTCTGGTCACAGTC